ACCAAATTGTGAGCATAATCAGTGCAGAGTTTGGTCTCGTAGCAAAATACGGACTTGCTTTATGAACAAGTCCGTATTTCAACTTTCGAGTTTCCAAGAAAAATAGGATGGTCTTATAGCTATTTGAATTTCCAGAACAGTTATGATTGACACTTTTTGACAAAATTAAACCAATAGATCAATAGGTCAAAATTTAATTTCGCTGTGAAATCTGATAGATAGTTCCATTTTCGAAACTAGAAGTCATTTTGCGTGACCTTTACACTTTCGCTGTTTCACTTTGAAGCTTGCCTTTCTTTTAACAAAATATGAAATGAAAATAAAAAATTAAAATTAAACAACAAAAAAGTAAAATTGAACCTAAAAAAACTTTAAGACTTTTCTTGGAAAAAACATCACGACCTATATAAGAGGCTGAGCTACGCTCATCGACTCTTACTTAAAAAAAAACTGAGGCTGAATAATGTCAAAGGAGCAAAAATGTCAGAAGTTGTCATCTTAGACAAAAAATACAGATCCTGTTACTTTGATATGGCTTTTCGAAAAGGGAAATTAAGAAAACTTTGTCTACGGCAGCAATTTTATGAGCTGACTGTACTATCACCCAATATTTGCGTATGAAGATATTATACTTTGTTGACACTGTTTTTTATGGCTGAGTCTAACACGTGGAACAACATTTAGCTAACAATTAGCTAAGCCAACCAGCAGTATATAACGTAGAAAAAAGGATTCGAAATTGTATAATTGTGTTACTTGTTATCAGGGGCGGATCTAGTTAGTTGATCAAATTGATTGTCCCAGCTCTTCATAAGTAGTAAGTAGTAAAAAGACTCTGTTTTGGCCAAACTTTCTGCGCCTGTTTTTCTGTTTTTGAAAAAAACAGGCCGAAAAAAGCGTTTTTGAAAATTCGAAATTGCGTTTTTTCGGCGCGCGCTCCCCCTGAAAATTAGTATATACAGGCGCCCAAGGCTCCTTTAGAAGAATTTTGAGGTCCTTCAGGCAAAAAGAAAATCTCAAAATAGTTCAAAGAAAGACCCTTTGCCCCCCCCCCCCTAAATCCGCCCCCGCTTGTTATTGTCTTTTGTTCACCTTTGAAGAAGTGTTGTAATCTAATTGTGCCAATATCGTCAATTTCGATCTCCAAATGCAGCAAATAGTCGCCGTCGTCTAAACCCTCCTGAAAGTCGAACTCACAGTAGCCGGCAAGGCTGCCACAGTCAATACCTCCAAACTCCCCACTCTCGAAAATAACGAGGCTAGACACGTTCGCAGATCTGAGCTGAAAAAAAATTCGAGCCTGAATTTTTTTGGAAATTGGGAAAAATAGTTATCCGTTAACCATTTTAAAATTGCAATAATTGATTGAAGTACTCAACGAAAGGTTGACCTACAGAGGCGAAACAGGGTTAATTGCGGTAAAAATAACTACATTTCACTCTGTTTCCCTCTTTAATTTCAAACCAAATGAATAAACCCGCTTTAAGGGTGTAATTTTGGTTTCAAATTTTGCAAAATGAGTATCTCTCTAAAAATACTGGTTTAACTCCAAATATTTTTTGTCTACTTAGTAATTTTTGTCCAAAGATAACCGAAATTGACAAAAAAAACAAGTTTGAAAATTAGTTTTAATTCATTTTATTCATTGATTTGAATTCAGCTCTAAGATTACTTGTTCGACACAAGAAGCAAGGAAAACTCGACAAACCGCAAAAACAAGTGAAAAAAAACTTTTCAATTTAATGAAATAAATCATAAGAACTCGGCAAGTTTATGCTGCCTATGCAAAAGAATGGCTTCAATTACCGAAAAATTAATCTTAAGAAACCTGTTTTGAAACTACTTGTAAAACTTAGTGAACCCTAAACCTGGTAAAATCTTGAAAAATTTGTCGTATTTTTGTTCCTACTTTCGAAGAAAGTGACCGAAAAGTGTTGCTTGTTGTTGGTTTTTTTGTTCTGAGAAGTTTCTGCTTTCCAAATAATTTTTCTGTATATCATCGAAAAAATGTTGATGCCCTGAGCTCAAACTGAAACATTGTGATCAGTTTTTGCGAAGTAACGGGGATTTGACAACTGCCAAATTGGGATAAAAATGTTCAACGAATTTTGTGCTATTACTAGAACATAAATGATTCGAAATTGACTTGAGGTAAGCCAATCGGTTTAAAAGACTAGACGCTAAGTACATCAGCAGTATTTAATTCACGTCTGGGGCCACAATCTTTTAAAAAATTTAAAAAACAAGTCAATAAGTTTTCCAAAGTTTCATCCGTTAGAAAGGAGGCAATTTAGAAATAGGTTTTACCTTGGTACAACCAGTCAGTCTAGTTTACCTTAAAAAATAGTGTTGTCTCATATCCGCGGTTACCATATATGCTATGCCTTTTTCTTAAGCCAAAATGTATCCCAGCACTTCAGAGGAACTTTTATTTTTTTGGGGTTTTACTATGATAGAAGCAGTCTTGTTTTCGTTCTGATTATCGGACTATCGGAAATTACAAGTCAACAAAGAATAACGAACTGCCATAAATTTTGGTATTTAAAAGCAGAATTGAATGTCAGAAAATACGCAAAATGAAAAGATTGATAAATCAATTTTAAAACAGTGTCTGAACAATTTGCAAACTTTGTTTCGATCTTTCAGTTTTGGACCTTTTACCACACTGTTCTTCGTTCACCAGAAAAATTATTAGTTGCGACCTTGGTTTTTCTCGCTATGAATTCTAGCGAGAACAATTTTCTTTATTCTGCTCGATTTTGATTTTTTAGTTGACACTTTTACCGATGTTTATTCTGGAAGAAAAAAATGTTTGCTTGAGATATTGACCAGACCAATTTGATTTTAAAAGAGAAACATAAATTTGCTCAAAAATTGACCAGACAAACAATTCGTTTTTGTTTTTTGTTCCATATTTCGAAGAAAATAAAGATTTATTTAAGCTCGGGTGGTTTTTTGGAGCATTTTTTCAGAAACATTTTGAGCATTTTTGGAGGAAAATTTATAGATATCTTGTTTTCGTTCTGATTTCGTGTATGCTTGGAATGGCTTTTTATTTCTGCCTCGTTTCGGTTCTGAGGTAGATCGGTTTCGGGTAGCTGGCTGATTGACAACATGGCATTTCATACGTAAATTAACCGTAACTATCGGAAATTACAAGTCAACTAAGAATAACGAACTGTAATTTTCTGTAATTAAAAGCAGAATTCAATGTCAGAAAATACGCAAAATGAAAACATTTATAAATCAATTTTGAAACAGCGTCTGAACAATTTGTGAACTTTGTTTCGATCTTTCAGTTTTGGACCTTTTACCACACTGTTCTTCGTTCACCAGAAAATTTATTAATTGCGACTTGAATTCTAGCGAGAACACTTATCTTTATTCTGCTCGATTTTGTGTTTTTAGTTGACACTTTTACCGATATTTATTCTGAAGTGCATTTTTCTTTTGATCTTTTTTGCTGTTTTAGATTCCACGTGCAACTAGCTAAAACACCGTAGCGCTCAAAATTGCTCCTTAAAAAGCTATTTTGCGGAATCGGCAACAGAATTTTCGGAATCCCTATCAAACTTTGCGGAATCCGAATTAGTTTGTAGATTCCACACAAAAATTTTCCGCAAATTGTCTTCCACACAAAAATCTTCCGCTAATCCGCAAATTGTAAGTGGAGTCAGCATAAATTTGCCGAAATCATTTACCTTTGCAGAAATAGCTTACATTTGTAGAATCCGGAACTAGCTAGATGAGCGCTTTGCAGAATCAGCAAAAAAAACTAAAGTACCGACAAAACATACGTTACAGGTATTTGTGTGCAGAATCCACGGAAAAGTTCTGAGTGGATTCCGTTTACATTTTGAAACAAGTTAAAAGACGTGTTTCTGGATTCCACTGACCTACAGACACCAAATTGTGAGCATAATCAGTGCAGAGTTTGGTCTCGTAGCAAAATACGGACTTGCTTTATGAACAAGTCCGTATTTCAACTTTCGAGTTTCCAAGAAAAATAGGATGGTCTTATAGCTATTTGAATTTCCAGAACAGTTATGATTGACACTTTTTGACAAAATTAAACCAATAGATCAATAGGTCAAAATTTAATTTCGCTGTGAAATCTGATAGATAGTTCCATTTTCGAAACTAGAAGTCATTTTGCGTGACCTTTACACTTTCGCTGTTTCACTTTGAAGCTTGCCTTTCTTTTAACAAAATATGAAATGAAAATAAAAAATTAAAATTAAACAACAAAAAAGTAAAATTGAACCTAAAAAAACTTTAAGACTTTTCTTGGAAAAAACATCACGACCTATATAAGAGGCTGAGCTACGCTCATCGACTCTTACTTAAAAAAAAACTGAGGCTGAATAATGTCAAAGGAGCAAAAATGTCAGAAGTTGTCATCTTAGACAAAAAATACAGATCCTGTTACTTTGATATGGCTTTTCGAAAAGGGAAATTAAGAAAACTTTGTCTACGGCAGCAATTTTATGAGCTGACTGTACTATCACCCAATATTTGCGTATGAAGATATTATACTTTGTTGACACTGTTTTTTATGGCTGAGTCTAACACGTGGAACAACATTTAGCTAACAATTAGCTAAGCCAACCAGCAGTATATAACGTAGAAAAAAGGATTCGAAATTGTATAATTGTGTTACTTGTTATCAGGGGCGGATCTAGTTAGTTGATCAAATTGATTGTCCCAGCTCTTCATAAGTAGTAAGTAGTAAAAAGACTCTGTTTTGGCCAAACTTTCTGCGCCTGTTTTTCTGTTTTTGAAAAAAACAGGCCGAAAAAAGCGTTTTTGAAAATTCGAAATTGCGTTTTTTCGGCGCGCGCTCCCCCTGAAAATTAGTATATACAGGCGCCCAAGGCTCCTTTAGAAGAATTTTGAGGTCCTTCAGGCAAAAAGAAAATCTCAAAATAGTTCAAAGAAAGACCCTTTGCCCCCCCCCCCCTAAATCCGCCCCCGCTTGTTATTGTCTTTTGTTCACCTTTGAAGAAGTGTTGTAATCTAATTGTGCCAATATCGTCAATTTCGATCTCCAAATGCAGCAAATAGTCGCCGTCGTCTAAACCCTCCTGAAAGTCGAACTCACAGTAGCCGGCAAGGCTGCCACAGTCAATACCTCCAAACTCCCCACTCTCGAAAATAACGAGGCTAGACACGTTCGCAGATCTGAGCTGAAAAAAAATTCGAGCCTGAATTTTTTTGGAAATTGGGAAAAATAGTTATCCGTTAACCATTTTAAAATTGCAATAATTGATTGAAGTACTCAACGAAAGGTTGACCTACAGAGGCGAAACAGGGTTAATTGCGGTAAAAATAACTACATTTCACTCTGTTTCCCTCTTTAATTTCAAACCAAATGAATAAACCCGCTTTAAGGGTGTAATTTTGGTTTCAAATTTTGCAAAATGAGTATCTCTCTAAAAATACTGGTTTAACTCCAAATATTTTTTGTCTACTTAGTAATTTTTGTCCAAAGATAACCGAAATTGACAAAAAAACAAGTTTGAAAATTAGTTTTAATTCATTTTATTCATTGATTTGAATTCAGCTCTAAGATTACTTGTTCGACACAAGAAGCAAGGAAAACTCGACAAACCGCAAAAACAAGTGAAAAAAAACTTTTCAATTTAATGAAATAAATCATAAGAACTCGGCAAGTTTATGCTGCCTATGCAAAAGAATGGCTTCAATTACCGAAAAATTAATCTTAAGAAACCTGTTTTGAAACTACTTGTAAAACTTAGTGAACCCTAAACCTGGTAAAATCTTGAAAAATTTGTCGTATTTTTGTTCCTACTTTCGAAGAAAGTGACCGAAAAGTGTTGCTTGTTGTTGGTTTTTTTGTTCTGAGAAGTTTCTGCTTTCCAAATAATTTTTCTGTATATCATCGAAAAAATGTTGATGCCCTGAGCTCAAACTGAAACATTGTGATCAGTTTTTGCGAAGTAACGGGGATTTGACAACTGCCAAATTGGGATAAAAATGTTCAACGAATTTTGTGCTATTACTAGAACATAAATGATTCGAAATTGACTTGAGGTAAGCCAATCGGTTTAAAAGACTAGACGCTAAGTACATCAGCAGTATTTAATTCACGTCTGGGGCCACAATCTTTTAAAAAATTTAAAAAACAAGTCAATAAGTTTTCCAAAGTTTCATCCGTTAGAAAGGAGGCAATTTAGAAATAGGTTTTACCTTGGTACAACCAGTCAGTCTAGTTTACCTTAAAAAATAGTGTTGTCTCATATCCGCGGTTACCATATATGCTATGCCTTTTTCTTAAGCCAAAATGTATCCCAGCACTTCAGAGGAACTTTTATTTTTTTGGGGTTTTACTATGATAGAAGCAGTCTTGTTTTCGTTCTGATTATCGGACTATCGGAAATTACAAGTCAACAAAGAATAACGAACTGCCATAAATTTTGGTATTTAAAAGCAGAATTGAATGTCAGAAAATACGCAAAATGAAAAGATTGATAAATCAATTTTAAAACAGTGTCTGAACAATTTGCAAACTTTGTTTCGATCTTTCAGTTTTGGACCTTTTACCACACTGTTCTTCGTTCACCAGAAAAATTATTAGTTGCGACCTTGGTTTTTCTCGCTATGAATTCTAGCGAGAACAATTTTCTTTATTCTGCTCGATTTTGATTTTTTAGTTGACACTTTTACCGATGTTTATTCTGGAAGAAAAAAATGTTTGCTTGAGATATTGACCAGACCAATTTGATTTTAAAAGAGAAACATAAATTTGCTCAAAAATTGACCAGACAAACAATTCGTTTTTGTTTTTTGTTCCATATTTCGAAGAAAATAAAGATTTATTTAAGCTCGGGTGGTTTTTTGGAGCATTTTTCAGAAACATTTTGAGCATTTTTGGAGGAAAATTTATAGATATCTTGTTTTCGTTCTGATTTCGTGTATGCTTGGAATGGCTTTTTATTTCTGCCTCGTTTCGGTTCTGAGGTAGATCGGTTTCGGGTAGCTGGCTGATTGACAACATGGCATTTCATACGTAAATTAACCGTAACTATCGGAAATTACAAGTCAACTAAGAATAACGAACTGTAATTTTCTGTAATTAAAAGCAGAATTCAATGTCAGAAAATACGCAAAATGAAAACATTTATAAATCAATTTTGAAACAGCGTCTGAACAATTTGTGAACTTTGTTTCGATCTTTCAGTTTTGGACCTTTTACCACACTGTTCTTCGTTCACCAGAAAATTTATTAATTGCGACTTGAATTCTAGCGAGAACACTTATCTTTATTCTGCTCGATTTTGTGTTTTTAGTTGACACTTTTACCGATATTTATTCTGAAAGAAAAAAATTGTTTGCTTGAGATAAAAACTAAGAAGTATTTTTTTTATCTGCGGTTTTTGAAGAAAACTATGGGAGTTTATTAATAGGAAACTCGACCAATATGAGAGAATTTCCAGTTTTATCTTAAAGCGCAGCAAGTGCTGTTAGTTCAACCTTTCTGGTTGAACTAACCGAGTTTCTCAAATTCTCAAGTTTCTCAAATTAACCGAGTTTCTCAATGTTTCTCAAATTAAACTAAATTTCTCGTTTCAAGGCGAAGCCCTGAATATTCCGACTGCCTTTTTAGGTTTAATGAGCAGTATAGCAATAAAAATTAAACGAAATAAATCAAAATGAAGAAAAATTCTAAAAATTGAATTTTTTTAATAAAAAAACATCCCCCCACACGCCATATAAAGTACAAAAGGATAGATTTCGCTCCATGTAACAAATCACTCAAGGCGAATAAGTTTCTTTTAACCAATTTGGAACGATTTCTAAGACGGATTAACTCTCAGCTTACGCGTTAATAGTGCGAATAATATCGCGTGTTAGTTTTCTCAAATTGGCCAAAATAGCAACCTTTAAACCCCCATAACTTTACAAAAATGTTCACAGGTGAAATATCTTTTCAAATTTAGGCTCAGGACAACAATATCTTTCGAATGATATAAAAAAAACATTCGGTCAAAATGGCTAGTTAAAAAGTCGAAATTTGTCTGAAGAAAAAAAACCCCACCCCGAGCACAAGTATTCCGTTACTTTCGTATCGAAAGTCGAAACAATAAATAGAGGCTACTTAACGGTATTAAACTTTTTTTCAGTAGATGCGCGAAGCATATCAAGTTGTTTTTGACACAGTTTGTCGGTGATTTAACCACAAAATTTCAACCAACTTTTTTCGAAACTTACTGCATTTACCTACAAGGTAGCCAAAACATTCAAGGGCTTTACCCTGATACGAGAAACCTCGTTTTCCAACCTTGTTTTTTCATTATGTTTCTTCAAGCTATAATTTTTCTATCGTTACGTTTAATATCCTCGATATTTAAGTTTTCCATGTTTTTCTATGGCTCTCTACGTCTATTAATAAACCGCATAATTTGCGTTTTTTAAATGCAATGTTCAGTCAAATTACCTTGTCTTAATTTAGTTCTGAATTATTTTGCTGGATTCATTAATTTGCATCGCATGTTATTAAAAAAACTCGGGCATATAAGTGTTTTCAAAATCTGCGCAGGCGTTACCGTTGATTTAGGTGGTTATTTTTAGGTACCAAGGTGAAAAAATCAGACCCATAAAATGGGAAAAGTGACTTTCATCCGTAAATGATCTAGCACAAAGTTTTTTAACCTGAAGATTTTAAAATTAAGTCAGATATATTACACGTACGAAAAACTGATCTTTGCCTGCCATCAAATGGTTTGAAATAGTTTTTGGTGAAGAAATTATATTGACGAAGTATAAATTTCATAATTTTAAACATTGTTTTTTATTGCTTTCCCCAAACTGTCAATATCAAATAGTAGGTTTATGCGCTGAGTAGAACTAATGAGCTTGCCTAATGATCTTGAATGCGGGATACTTTGCTGTCCTTAGATATTTCGAGTCGACTAAATCAAAATGTGTATAAGTTAATTCAAGATTATGGCCAGTTTGAAAAATTTCTAACCCACAAATTTTGTCGCAAAAGGATCGTAGACAGAATGTTTTTAAATTTGAAGCCAAGAGTCAATTTCTTTATCGATGGCAACAAAATTTTTTTCTAAAAAATTATATTTCGATCGTCAATCCCCTATTTTTATCGCCAATACATATAAAAAGAATTATGTTAACCGATTGCACATACAAATGGGTTATGATTTAAAACAAAAATTTTCTAAAATTTGGTTTTAAAAGAAAAACATAAATTTGCTCAAAAATTTACCAGACAAACAATTAGTTTTTGTTTTTTGTTCCATATTTCGAAGAAATTAAAGAAATATTTAAACTCGGGCGGTTTTTTAGAGCAATTTTTCTGAAACATTTTGAGCAATTTTGGATGAAATTTTTTACATTATTCAAAAGGTATTATAGTCTTCAGCACAAATCTAAAAAATAATAATTCATCTGTGATCAGTGTTTGAAAGGTTATGGAGGTTTATTGATTGACAATTTTGGCAATTTGGGAGCAATAACGCGCGACATAGTTTGCGCTATTAACGCAGAATCGGAGATTCAATCCGTCATAGAATTGAGGCATCTGTTTGCGTTTTGGTATATCATTATTTAAATTTCATCACTTTCTTTTCTGCGGAGAAATTTTGCTCCAATATAGGTAAAAAAAATTGCGTAAAATCAATTTCTGTTGAAATTCTAAAACAGTTTAGAACTTTTGCTCTCATTAAAATTTGCCTAATTTAAATCAAGTTTGACCAATACGCGTCGAGACCTCCCGGTTTTTATAGTTTTCTTCAAAACAGAGACCAGTTTTGTAGACAACTAAATAGAACCTCGTATTAACTTTCTCAAATTGGGCAGCTACATAACGTGAAAACCACCGCATTTTTGTTAAACAAATCACAGAATATTTTTTTAAAACTTGATTCCAAGACTTTCGAAAACGTATTTCTCAATTTTCAATTTCGAAAACGTATGAGAAATCCGAGCAAAAAAACTGTTCTGTCTGGAGATAAAATCACAATTATTGAACTTGTGATTAAATACGCTATTTCAAATTTTAGTTTTCCAAAACGTTTCAATACAAACTTCTTTCAGGCCGTAGAAAAAAATCTTCGAAAATTGCTAGTCAAAATGTCGTATTTTGCTTGGAGAAAAAGAACCAAACACATTAAACTTGCAAGTTTTTGTTTGAGAAAAACACTAT